AGTCAAAGTGCATTGTTCATTAGTAAAAATTTTGTCTATCGTGAGAGGTAAACATATATTGAGGTGAAGTATTATTTCATTAGAGATAAGATAGCTTCGGGTGAAGCTAATTTTGAAAAAATTCATGCGGATAAAAATCCGTTTGATATGGAAACTAAAATGCTTTCAATTAGTAAGTTTAAAACTTATTTATCAATTCTAGATATTGATAATGGGTTTCAATTAGTAGAAAGGCAATTGGCGACGGCCAACTGCTGAGTGCCTTACAATTTTTTTTTTATTTTTTATTTTTTAAAAGAGCCTGCCTAGCTCAACTTGATAAGGCTTGAGTTGAAGCCTGAAATTTTTGGCCGAGCTCGACTCGGACTCACAAAAAAGCTCAGATCATTATACCCAAGCTGGCTCGACTCGTTGACACCACTACTTGCGCAGGTACTCAAGCGATGATGATGACCAGCTTTCCTTGTGAACCACATCATACTTAGGAATTAGTTTATTTATTGAACTAAGGTAAAGATTGAAGGAATCGTATTTCACTAAATTACAACTCATTAAGGGTATTTTGGAAATTATCCTTGGCTTGTGGGTTGTCTAGAGAGAATCCATGTTGTATTCAACCATGGATACTTATGTCTCACCCTGATTGTGGCGATGATCAAATCTAGATTTTTGATATGGTGTCAACCCTCTCCTTTGCTGGTTCAACTAGTTAGAGCGTTCTAATGTGTAATTAATTGTCCTAATAGTCATTGAACTTGTATCCAAATCTTTGATTACTCACTAAAGTTTAAAATGTTGAGATTTGACCACTGAAGTTATCCAAACATTGGACGTTTCTCACTGAATTAACTTCCATTTGTAAACGCTAACAAAAGCGGTGATGTGGCTGACGAAATGTCCATGTGGTGCCCCCGTCATACTATTAACAAATTGTTATGTCTTCGATTGCTCACCGAATTTTGAAAAAGGTTTTCGATTGCTTACTGAACTTTGAAAAACGTATTTGATTGCTCACTGAACTTTGAGTAATTATTCTTATGCTTAAGAACTAGGCTCTGAGTTGTCCTTCCTATATCAGTTTATTAAACTTGGATCCTTGACAATGTTGCATAATGTCACAAATAATAATGTTGCATTAGAGTTAAATTAATCTATTCTTATATATTTTAGAATTGAAGAAGAGGTTCTAGACTAGAAGATCATGTGTTAATTTTTCTTTGTCATTCGTAGAATATTTTTACTAACTTGAATGTAGCAATACAAGTCAATATATTTTATAGAAACAAAATTAGCTAATGCGGAATGCGTAGAAGCCGGAGGGCTAAAGAGCTAGACTTGAATTTAGTTTACTTCTTTGGATGAGTTGGTTAGCGACATAGCACAATATAATGTCACGTCAAACAAGTTGAAATGATCAGAGTTACGATTTACACTTTTTGTTTTTGTTTATTGTCGAAATCTAACAACGCTTTCATTTCTTGTAAATCATAGACACGTCAAAAAAAAAAAAAAAAAAATCAAATAATACTTAAACTTAAATCAACCTTTAAAAAAAACACACACATACACACACATTTCCTTAAAAGAATAATGCTATATAGTACCAAGTAATAGCACTAGTGTCATTAAATCATATACTCAAACAAATATAATGATTTATGACACATTTTATATAACTTCTATACGTTGATATCTAGACCAATATTCGATTCAATTGATATTAAATAAAAGCAATGACCATCACTATTCATCGAAATAAATTGTCAAGAATTAATGGGTCAGTGGCTGAGAAATTGTCTACAAGATATCTTCAAGAACGAGTAGCCAATGTCTTCAGTCTTATTCAATGATACACAAGTGGATTCAGCCCTATCAGAATTTATATTGCCCCCTCTCAACTCAAAAATATTTGCCGAAATAATAGGCAACAATTCCAATATTTTGCCGGCAAGGGCACAAGTAGGGGATGACGACATTTACTTACTAGGGAGTATATTTAAGCTTTTACAGTTTCCCTTTCCTACATGTTTGCAAGTCTGCATCTATGCCGTGAAAAGTTTATTGCATTTTTGAAATTAAAAAATAATTCAATTAAGTATGTTGATGAAGAGGAATTCCGCATTATACTCAATACTCAATACTCAATACTCAATATTAAATTATTAAGAAACTAAAGTTACTAAACTTTGAATTTCGAAACCGAAAATACTTACCAGTTGTCCAGCTCAAAAGCCACTGCGGAGTAAAAGAACTTTTAAGAGATGAAATATTTGATTTGGATAATGAGTTCCTTAATTTTGTTGGGGGATTGAAAACTTGGAAGTTTGAAGACTTTGGTTGCCTATAACGGGTTGGAGAATGGATAGGAATCGCCGTCTTCTACTTCTTGGGGTCTCAAGTATGTCAAAAGGAAGAAAATTGGATTAGAATTAGGTTTGGCTTTGAGTTTAAATGGGTAATAAATTGGGCCAAAAAACTTAGAGTTGGTCCATTTACAAACACATTTTGTTGGAAGTGGGCTTACTCAATTTTCCATTTTTTGTTGGACACAGGCTACTTAATTAGTTTTACATGGGCTCAACTAAAAAATAAAATAAAATAAAATGGTGGACTAATGGATTTGAGCTTGGGTGAGTACGGGATGTAGCTCAGACCTCGATCTGTCCCTTGGCTGCTGAATTGTCCTGAGAGCATCAATGTTGCATTCACCCATTGGCTACTTATGTCTCACTTGGATTGTGCTACTTCATTGATAGTCAAAGTGCTACTTATGTTTTTCTGCATGGTTCTCCTATTATTTTCATTGATAGTCAAAGTGCATTGTTCATTAGAAAAAATTTTGCCTATTGTGAGAGGTAAAAATATATTGAAGTGAAATATTAATTCATTAGAGATAAGATAGCCTCGGGTGAAGTTAATTTTGAGAAAATTCATGTGGATAAAAATTCATTTGATATGGAAACTAAAATGGTTTCAATTAGTAAATTTAAAACGTGTTTATCAATTCTAAATATTGATAATGGGTTTCAAATAGTAGAAAGGCAATTGGCGGCGGCCAACTGCTGCCTTAAATAAGGCAGCACTCAGCTACCTTTTTTAGGTAGGCAAATGACTTGTAATTTTTTTTTTCTTTCTAAAGAGCTTGCTTGGCTCGACTTGACAAGGCTCGAGCCGAAGCCTAAATTTCTTGGCCGAGCTGAAGTTCAACTCGGTCGGGCTCACAAAAAAGCTCAGATCATTTTACTCAAGTCGGCTTGACTCGTTGACACCACTACTTGTGCGGGTACTCAAGCGATGATGATGACCAGGTTTCCATGTGAACCACATCATACTTAGGAATTAGTGTATTTATTGAACTAAGGTAAAGATTGAAGGAATCGTATTTCACTAAATTACAACTCATTAAGGGTATTTTGGAAATTATCCTTGGCTTCTAGGTTATCTAGAGAGAAGCCATGTTGTATTCAGCCATTGGATACTTATGTCTCACCCTGATTGTGCTACTTCATTCTAATGTGAGCCATTGGATCCTATTGGATGGCGATGATCAAATCTCGATTTTTGATATGGTGTCGACCCTCTCCTTTGTCGGTTCGACTAGTTAGAGTGTTCTAATGTGTAATTAATTGTCCTAATAGTCATTGAACTTATATCCAAGTTTTTGATTATTCATTGAGTTTAAAATGTTGAGATTTGGCTATTGGAGTTATCCAAACATTGGACGTTACTTACTGAATTAACTTCCATTGTAAACCCTAACAAAAGTGGTGACGTGGCTAACGGAATGTCCATGTGGCACCCTCGTCACATCGTTGACAAATTGTTACATCTTCGATTGCTCACCGAACTTTGGAAAACGTCTTTGATTGCACATTGAACTTTGAGTAATTGAAGATATTTTTCAAAGTTTAGTGAGCAATCGAAAACGTTTTTCAAAGTTTAGTGAACTGTCGAAGACATAACAATTTGTTAATGGTGTGACGGGGACGCCACATGGACATTCCGTTAGTCACGTCATCACTTCCGTTAGGGTTTACATATGGAAGTTAATTCAATTAGTAACGTTCGACGTTTGGATAAGATCCGTGGCCAAATCTCAATATTTTAAACTTTATTGAATAATCAAAGATATGAACATAAATTTAGTGACTATTGGAACAATCCTCTCTAACTTGGGTTTTGATGACTCTCTCTCCAGCTTTTGAATTCCTTCTTCTCTCTCTATTAGTTTTGAGTATGTAATCCTCGTGTATAGGCTTGCTTGCGTAATCGGTGGCCGTTGTATTTGCCTATTGTGCACCTGGTTTATGGTGCTTGCGGTTGAGCGAGTTAAGCGTTGTTCTCGAGTCGTGTTTTATGAGATCCTCTTGAATCTATGACTATAGCTGATGGTTGATTTGATTCCTTTGTACATCGATTCCTCTGGAAGGCATGGTTTTCACATAGTGTTGGACTGATACTGAGTTCCTCAGATTAGACCATTTTATTTTGAATTGGGTGAACAATTTTTGGCATTCCTGATCTATATTTTCTGCATTTTACTTTACTGGTTTTCGGTGCTGTGATTTTGCAATTTCATCTGTTTTTTCGGTCGATTGAGTTGCTGGAAATATAGAATTCTTTAGGTGAATTCTGATTTGGGACAAAAGATGAAAAGAATCCCAACACTAGACTCTAGCCCAGATAAATAAAAATGCCTACCTAGACACGATATGGCCTATCCAAAACCCATATCTTCATACCTTGTTCGATCTCTCTGTTCTGACAAAAACCCTGCCTCAATGTTTCTGTCCTTTAATTTTTATATATTTTTTGTGAATTCAAACAGTAAATGAACTGGCCGACTCATTTTGATACGACTAGCGTAGTGAAGGTATCATAGACAAATCACGCATCCAATTGAATTGTGACCAACTAACATTTTCCTTGTGTTTGTGTATCTAATATAATTCAATGGCTCTTGCATTTCACGTCCCATTACTCACATAACACACTTGACTGTCCACAACCTTGTTCCTAGTACAGAACAAAAAGAGTTCTAATTTAACTCACAAGCATTACTAGTTTTAGTAGATAATTACCTGTCAAATGGAACAATTCTTTGCAACAAATGTTACCAGTGAGGAAGACAAATAGTTTTCAACATCTAAATCCATTCTAATTAGTGCTAATTCAAAACCAAGAGAGCCGATACCATCTAGCTAAATTACAACAACAATCTGCAATCCAACGCAGTCGCTTGGAGAAGAAATCAATTTTCAGGGATTGATATAGAGATGATCTGACCTTGTGAAGAAGCTCAAGTCATCTTCCAAAGTTTTATGTAGTCTAAAAATCATGAATTTTGAAGTTAGACACCTCACTTGAGACCGACTCGAAGAATTTTTTTTCTGGCTGTGGACGTATAGTATTGCTACACTATGAAGCCAGCCATTTTGGTCGAGCATACCATCCAATGAAGCCATTCAGTCAAGCAAACATCTCAGAGTCGGAGTGTGAGATCTGGTGTAGATTCATCTCCATCCTTAGAAGTATTAGGCTCGACAAAATTTCCATTTGAAGATCCAACCTGTACAATTAGTCGATGAGAAATATTTTCGGTAGATACCTGATGAAAACTACCAGGCCATAGCAGTATTGAATCATCCTCAACGTAAATGGGCTGACTCATGTAGCCATTTTCAAATCTTGTGCCGGCTCTAAACTCAAATGGCCTCATTGGTGGCACAAAACCGTGATGCACTGAAGCATGCTCTTTTATTCCTAGACATCGGGATAGAGACCCGAGCAAAGGCAGAGATGCCACACTAGCAAACCTCTCAGGAAAAATGCCCATTTGTGTAGCCCTTTTGGCCAGTGTCCTTTCTCGCTTATGGGCATTCTGATGACCCCCAAGTGCCTGAGAACTCAAAAACTTTCGTTGACAGAAATTGCAGGAAAAGGCTCGTGGAGGGACCACTTCTTTAGTTAGGATTGCGGGTTCATTACAACTCTCACTTGTGCTAGATATCAGAAATCCCATGGATTCGGTGCAGTCTAACTGATTCTTGTTTGATCTGAAGTTGAGAGATAAGTCGAGGGAGGTAGATTCTGGATTCAGTTGAATGTTTACTTGATCCAATTCATTCTTGAAGTCAGTCAGTCCATCTTGGATTGATACGTTGGAAGCAACTTGGCTACTAACATCAGAATCATTCTCTACAGAGGGCTCCGCTTCAAGATCAAATTTTTGGGATTTCATAATTCTCTGGGCATCTAAGAAGCGAAATGAACAGTTCGTGTTGTCAATAAGCAAATTCCAGTGTAGAGTATCTGAGAGTGCCAGCCGACAGCTTGAAGCTGATATTTTCTTCCCTGCATATAATGGATATTTAAGATTTAATTGAAAGCAAAAGCAGGAGTAACAACTATAAAGGTAAAGCTCAGAATATGTAGGTCCAGTGATGCAATAATCACTTCATTCTGAATCAAAAGCAATGATTTTGAGACAACATAAAACGGCACAAAAATGGAGACATGTTCATTAACTAAACATTTTCCCCCACTACATTTTGAGGGAAATCATCACTTTGAGAACATAATTGTTGTTGCTCGGTATTTACAAGATAAAACACCCTGAACTTGGCACAAAGTGACTTATTACTTCTAATTATACTTGTAAAAACTGTACAAGTTACTTTCTGATAAATCTTTGCTCTGATCTAATTTCCCCTTTTACACTGACAGTTAACCCGACAAAGAAGGAAAATATAGGGAATTGCATTAATCTTATTATATCTAACACAGTAATTAAAATGAAGCCAAAATGATTCCAAGACATCACACCAATTTCATTGCTCAAACAAAATATGTAAACATGTATCAAGTAAATCTTGCCAAGGTAAATAAGGCAACAGAGATTAGTGATATTCTTGACCAGATTTTATAGGCTAATCAAATCGAAGAAACGAAAAGAAAAACATATATAGAATAGAAGCTTCATCAGATACTTCTGAGAATATTAGAAATTCTGCACATGCAGAAATAACTAACCAGAGAGTAAATTTGCAGAAATAGTCTTTGAGTGGAGCAGTTTCAGTTCTTCATCAGACGGAAAAAAAACAAGGCTATTTTTGCCCTTATTAGTGAAACATAGAAAAATTGAGACTTGAAAGAAGCAAAGAGAAGGGAATGCTGAGAAAGGGGTGGGAGAACTGTCTTATGTTAAATTATGTAAAAACAAAGGTAACAAGAGGTGGAGAGGACAATGGTGGGGGGCGTAAGAGAAGCCAGAAAATGTTTTGTTAGGCCTTTGAGATTATAGTTTAAGAGAACAAAAGGAAATGACATCACCCTCAACAGGCAACCCCTTTTTGTTTTTTTATTTTTATTTTTGGTTCTTCCTAAAAGAAAACGCTGCTTCAGATGCAAAAGTACCATTAGACTGTGTAATTATAAGCAAGATTGTAGCCTATTTTTCTTCTTGACATTCTTGGTGACTTGGTGCAAAATGACATGCATTCAGACTCACCAGTGAGCATTAACTTTCAGAATGTTCAACATAATACTACATTCATCTAATCCATCCAAAAAGGTCCAGATTCCCATTAAAATTTAGCAAATTCTGGCTATTGTAGAGCATTCAACGAGAACCCTTTTCAGTCATGCTATAGTGCCTGAAAAGTTTGACAGAATAGTTGACATAATGTCACATGACATTTATTATTGAATTGTCTAAAACATAGTCATCTTTTCCATTCGGTCATTTGTTGCCATCACTTCATCTGTTACTGCATCTGTCGATTCTTCTGGCAAAGTGGCGTAATCCAACCCTTTTTAGTTTAGACAAAATGGCAAGGACATTCCCTCTATTGCAAATTATGCTACAGAAATATTAAGATTTTAGTACGAGTTACGGGCATTCTAATATTACAACTGAAATTTGCAAAATCAATAATTCTTTTTCTTTTTCAATGTCACAGAGGTAGAACATATAGATGGGTTAATCAACACATAAACCCTTGATTTTTTGTAAGAATAATACTATTTGTTCATCATGGTTTATAGATTGATGTACATGATGTACAAAATGATAATGTGGATGACTTCAAGCTAACTTCTTCCCTTTCTTTCTTTTTGCTTTCTTTATCTCTCTTTCGCGTCATAATTATGTACATCAATCTGTAAATCAAGATGTATAAGTAGCATTTCTTTGCGTTAATCCCCAAAGGCACGAATTTTATCATTCGGAAGTGTCAACCGTGGTTGAGACGCGGCGCTTTGTCTCTAGCTAAGAGCTGTTACCCTTGAGGGCACTAGTTATCACTTTTTTGGTCCACCAACACCAGGAACCCACATTCCCATTCACATTCACTCTCTCTGTCATGCATATTATATGATTTTGTAGTACCAAAGATAATTTAGTATAACTATAGGGTCTAATTAAATAGTATGGAATAATTGTACCACCATGATAGTGCTCTAGCTTTATATATTCACATGCTTTATAACTTTAATTTGTGATTAATTAACTATAAACATGTGGCTTATCTGCTGATTATTTGGTCCTGCTTTTCAGAGGTATATGCTTAGATCCTGTGTATCTTTGGTATTAGATTCTTCAACTTGTGGGGGTAATGCTACTTTGTCTTTTTATATGTTCGACACTTATCGAGTTTCTTTTCAAAATTTATTATTCATTTCCAACATTAAAGGGTAGTGGGTGAGGATTTGATTTGACCGAGATGACTAGAGACCGACTAAGATATAGAAGTTTACAATTAATAGAAATCTAAGCATACATTTGGTTCATATTTATCAACATTTAATCTATTTTTATCTGCATATTTTGGAAGATCTCACAAATATAAATCAAACCGTCTATAAACACTTTAACGAACTAGTGAAAGATAGAAATCTTGACGATATTTCAAGCCCAACATCCAACCTACAAGGAAACCCCAACATTCGACCCGTCAATAACCAATCACCCTGCTCAAATGTTTACGCCTAATTTAACAATTCATTTTTTACAAACTCATTTTCAATTACACAATCTTTCAGTGAAATAATTTCAAACATAAATTCGAAATTTTTCCCTAACTTTTTTAGCTGTACATTCTTAAAAAAATCATTATTACAAAATCTATTCTCCCAAAAAATAGTGATCAAGCAAACCCTTTATGCTTTCATTAAGCATGCACCAGTAAAGCTTTGTAAGAGTGCAAACCTAATTCAAAGTAGCTCTTAGACCTTAGTTCATTTACTTGTAAGATTATTTTATTTATAACATACATATTAGATTGTCTCTCTCTCTCTATAATTCGTTGATTAAACTCATCACATATTGAAAAAGTAAGAAAACGCTTCCCGTAATTTGGATTACTTGATCTATTTTTTAAATTTTAAATTTTAGAAGAATTAACAGTTATTTATTATAGTTCTACTCTCTGTGTCACTATTTATTTTAAGATTTCACAGGCGTTGGATGAAAATTTGAGTTGCGGAACATGTTAAAGAGAAATATATTTGTGTTTCTTTAATTTTATAAATCTAGATAAAGTTATTACCAAGCTTTATTGCACCTTTGGCTTAAAAAGCTTACGTTTTATTAATATCATAAATTACAAGTTATTTATCTCAAATTATCGTTACTTTAATTTCAAAATCAGTGACTTATAAATTTAAATAAAAAATTGAGCCACGTTAAGATTTTGACAAACATTGATGAAATATAGGATCGAAAAATTGATAAAAATTATGTGTCCCATTTATGCAAGACCTTAAGCAGCCGTCTATACTCCTATAGTTCGGAAGACCCTGGAAATAGTACTATTAAATCTATTTCTAATAGTTATTTTTAACTTGTTAGTTTGAACTCACTATTAATGAATTTTCAATCTGAAAGATTCATGGCAAAGTTCACCATTGATAATTTTACAAAGAATTTACAAAGAACTTACATTCTAGAACAAAAAATATAGACGGAAAATACGCCGAAAGAGGTGATATTAAAATGTGAATTAAAAACTAGAGGTAAGATTATTAGACAAAATTTTAAAATTCAATTGAACTCATGGTTTAACACTTTTTGATAAGAAAGATATGTTGCAAAGAAATTAAATTAATTTATACTTTGTTAATTAAGAAGCCATTGTAAATAAATATGAAACATATTTACAACATAATAACTCTCGAACGTTTAAGTTAAGCATTCGTCGTTTAACGAGTAACGAAGGTAGAATTACGAGAGCTTTGGGACAATTGCAAGTGGTCCAAGGGGCACTTGCATGCTCCTAGGAATCAGTCCGTTGGTGATTTTGGGGTTATATGTAGCCATTGTCTACTTCAGTCGACGGATGCCACTGAATAAAGCATACTATCACTTTGTTTATTATACAGTTGCTTTGGCAAATGAGTTTGAAGTACAATATATTTCGATAACTAAAAATATGTGCAAAATATCTTATAGAGCTATGTTTCAAGGCTAAGTCCAGCGGTGGGGGCACCCTCCCTGCAGCTAAGACCAAAGGGACGATCGAAATTATGATATGTATAATAATAAGCAAATCATGATTTAATAAAACATTGAAAATGAAGAAATTCAAAAGAAATAAAATTAAGCGAGTTGTGCAATATATTAATAGCACATCACCTTAAGACAGATTTTGTTCCCCACGCTTGTGCTAACATGATCAAATCAACGTTTATTACTAAAGATATAATGATTTTTCCAAAATTAATATAGTATAATATTAATTTTTCCTTGGAATTAGAGCTTGATTGTACTATTCTAGACCAAATAATATCAAAATTTAAAATAATGAACACAAAACTTGAAAATAATTAGAAAAACTATTTGAAATTGATTTGGAGTGGAAAAAGTAGAATTAGATGGGTACAATATATATAATTCAATATGTCTAGTTCCAAATGGTCACATCTTTTGGCATAAATTTATTTTAATGATTAGATCTCACCATTTTAGATTGACCATGATCCGATAGTCTGCATGGTACCCTACACAAAGGTTCCTCAACATGCACCTATTTGAATAGTTACGCACAAATCAAAAAATCAGGATTCTTCAATATGCACACATAGTATTTAAAAGTCACGTCTAGTCATCATACCTATTGATTAATACATTTTAATCCTTATGTAAATTTCGACAATCCCCTATATAAATGAAAGAAGTCCACTTGGAACAAGGAAAACGAAGAAGAGCGCTATCTGAAAGATAATACATCAAGATAGATAGTTTTCACTTTGAAAATTTCTCAATAAAAATTTATCGGATTCAGTTAGCTAATTAGTGAACTCAACATTTTGGATTGTCAGATATTATTGCAACTTATACAATAGATTAAGCACATTATCTCTCAAATAACTTTGATTTTTTATTGTCTTCATTATTTTGGCCCTAAACTCTCTTGGGTTCTTGCAAATATGTTAAAGAATTCACCTAAAAATAATCCTCATAGAGCTGACCATATTCATACTCACATAGTTAAGGTAACCTTTAAAAGTATAGCTTATCCTAAAGAATCTATCGTATGTAGCACTTATTTACATCATAGAAATATAGAGGTAAACTCTGAAGTGATTTTCATCAAACCATTCATAATTAGTTTTCTTATTGAAACTAGTCCGAGGAATCTTCAGTAACCGATTAAGTTTTCATTAAGTTGAACCATTAGATTTAGGTTTTGAACTCATTTTTTCTTGATGTGTAGTTTATTTCCTATCTATATAACCCTTTTGTAAATAGATTCATTAAGTTATTCTATGATAAAATAGTCGATATTGTTTCATTTGAGAGTAAATGTCAAATGATATTATTTTATAGTATAGATGCCGAAACTTACCATTATACACAATATTCTGTGCCATTCCGTTTATAGCTAGTTATTTGGGTCAAATCACATAACAAGCACATATTGTCACCAATTTTGAAATTCTTCAAAATATTTTGAAGCCACATGCTTCATTCTAGCCTATTTAAACTCTAATTTAGTCTTCTAGTTCTCAAGTTGCACGGAACATTTCCATGAAGCAACTACACTTTCAATAGTAAAATATATTTATTAATAGACTGCCCCCCCCCCCCCCCCCCCCCCCCCCCCAAACTCAAGGAATACTTGAATTTAACAAGAAGCGATGATAAAACAATCTATCCAAACAAACGCCACCCCCACATCCTATGGTCACCTGGATTTAAGTTAAGTTTGTAATTTGTAAACACCAATGCTACCTACAAATATTGAAATAAACTTGAACTTAGCTGAATAATATGGTTCAAACGTTGGATGGCATTTATTACATTAAAACAATTTCTTTTTAAGTAGATACCTGAACATGGAACTCTTTATTACTTGCGCAAATGTAATGGTTTCCCAGGCATTTGCTATCTCTATTCCTGAATCACGTGTCTTTCTCGTAAGATTGAGATAAATAATAATAAAAAAAGGGAATCAAATGACTTATAGCGGATCCTCAATCTCAAAAATAATTTCTTTTTAGTGATATAGATTTCTATTATACAATTTTTGGCAATATTTAACATAATATTATCTCTAACTTGTACAAATATTATTTCATAGAGTTAAGCGTGTCCATGTAACAAATAGACTAGCATATATTCCATCTCACTTCAACCCACTTAAACTACTAGTCACCACGATAACAGGGAAAAAATCGCATTTACATATGAAATATATAATATTTCATATAATACCATATATATTTCAAATTTTAAAATATACTACACATTGATTAAAAAAACATCAGTTCTATTTTCATTTAAACTTTCCAAATAAAACCATTTGTAAATGAAATCATGAATTGGCTGATAATAGGGAAATCAATTACAGCACTACTTCCAGCACGTGATTCAAATTTATTTTGGTTTCCTCGTCAGCAAATTTTGAATATGTGATGGTTTATTGAGCTAGCTAAAAACACCTGCAAAATAAGTATAGTCTTTTAACTTACTAAAATTATGATCTGTGCATAATAATGAGCAACTAACTACTTGCATAGATATAGAAAATGAAGAAATTTTTAAGAGATAGCATGAACCGAGATATGTAATAAATCTATTCTCAATGGTCACATCTTTTGACACAAATTTATTGTAATCATTAGATTGCAGATTTCAGATTGGACATGATCTAACAGTCTACATCGCACTCTATACAAATGTTTATGACTATTCATTATGCACCACTTTGAATACTCACGACTAATTTGAAAAATCATAACATTTCAATATGCACACGTTGCATAGAACCTTTATATACAAACAAGGAGCTTTCAAAAGACTGTAAATAATATACTGAACTAGCACTTTTAAATAGTGTAAAAATATTTTATTTGTGGTATGAAAAATTGTAGGTGAGGTAAAAAAGATATCTCTTCCATGACTAAGTGACTGTCAACCACATTATTCCATCCAATATAGGTTTTATTAGGTTTTTACAAAAGAATAATGCTATCTAGAAGCAATGGTGCTAGAATACTCATTTAAGTGGAAGAATATGATAAATTCAGTTAACTGAGTTCTATATATACTCTTACATTTTATTAGATTTAATTGAATCTATTGTAACCTGCATCTAGCATTACTAGTTACAAAATGGATGGCACTAGGTTAATTGGGTTGAATTGGACTGAAGCTCTCACTTCTCCATTCAAAACATTATAATATTTTTATTGTTTTTCTTTATAGGATCAAGAAATTAACTGGTTTCACTTTGAATATTAAAGTAAAAATCATGTTATCCTAGATGTAATTTCGGAATTAAATAAATTGAACAAATAAAAAACAGCAGGGGGCAAGTTTAGCAGGCTAAAGTAATTAAACTGCACCATTTATTCAACACCTAGAATTCATTTTGTAACATCATGATAAAGAGTGAACTTTATTTCTATAGAGCATGATGATACATTTTATACTTTGTTACACATTCAAAAATACTTTTGATCAAGTAAAGAAAACTCAATGGAATTCATAACTTTTTCAATCTTTTTTTCCCCCTTATCTTTTTATTGTCTGAATATTCACGAGCTAAGTATGCATTCCCAACAAAATAAATAAATAAATAAATAAATAGAGTAAGGCTTTATAATAATGAAATAGTTAATATACTTGAACTAAATAACCCATAGGGTATATAGTGGAGCATTTGCCTGAAAACTCATTTTCATGGTGCCTCTGCTTTCAATACTTGGAACTTCTTCTTCTCCCTTTGGCCTTTTTTCCTTTTTCCTTTTTCATGGGTAGGAGAGGAGCCCTTAGGATAAACACTGCACACATCAAAGGAGCTATACCTTAGCATATAAAAAATAGGAAAACAGCGGGAAGCTATCCGAATAGACCAACCAACAAATTGACCGCACCAAGAAAGCACCAAAGTTATTTGGGAGAGGGGGAGAGGGCATGCCTAAATAAACCATACTATGTAACAACAAAAAATAACAATATCAAGATGGCCTAATAAGTAGGGATTGCTCCTCAGAGATAATAACAGATAATCATAAGAAAAATTAACGGTGGGGATTTGGACAAGTAGAGGTGGCAAAATCATAATCAGTACATAAATTTTCCTAGTCTTGATCATTAATTTGGTGGGTGAACATCTAAGTCTGATATAACAGTAATGGCAAAACATCTATATTTCTTGCAAATTCGTTTGCTGAACTTCGTTAGTTAGTTCTAATCTTCGAATTAACATGATCGATTTTTTTCTCCATGACACGTTCAGAATCTTTAGATTACTTTCATAAAAGAAAAAGGAAAAAAAAAATTTAACTATTCAAATATTTAGTGTCATGTATGAAAGTTGGAAACATTACATGATTAGAAAGATGGCAGGAAATAAGCTTACAAACTGATTGTATGAGCAAACATTGTAATATATAAATTGGCATATGAGTACATAAACCGTGGTTAATTCAAGGCATGAGTAGAATTTATTCGACTTCAACATCAAACATTCTATGAGTTTTCACCACAAACAATGCATGGAGGTAGCACTTTGAAGTGAGGAAAAACGTTATTAAACTTGTCTGAGCTAAGAACTATATGTGGAATATGATGCTGTTGTGTGGAAATCTTTTCAGCTGTGTTTTGAAATAATTCCCAGTATAGATAAATCAAGGAACTATTTACAACATATTTCTCAATCAATTATTGAACAGAACTACTAAAAATAAGCCAACGAAAGAACTTTTTGACTGTCAAATCTAAAACATATCTAAATAAAGAAATAATCAAACTACTGTTCATAATTAAACAAGGAGGCTCATATGTCTAGCAGTCTGTTTAAACTGAATGAAAAATTTCTATATTTTAAAAAATAATTAATTTGGAGTGCAAAGACGGTAAGGTTTAATTTAAATGGATTTGAAATTCATGAATGGCATATATATGGAAAACGGAAAATGAAGGGAAAGAATTTAAGATATCGGGTTCAAGCAAGAATGGGTGAAGGACCAAGAAAAAGAACAATTAACCCGAAATGAAATGAAAATTTAAAGAAAATGGACAAATGGATTCACAAACGCACAAGATTTCCTGTTTACTTACAAAATCAACTCTCAGATAAAAGCTGGTCTAATAGATCAGATCCCAAGTCCTCAAGCACCAAAACATTTTCTTCACTAATTTGTTTCATTTTGCATTTGCGCTTCGACGAATTCCGAGTCCTGTGAGTCTCTTTTATGGTTTCAGCTGGTGATGAACCATCCTCGCACCTGTAATTCATTTTACTAAGAGATTCTTTTACTTTTTCTATGGGAAAATTAATGGCTGCAGACGCTCCGCGCATCTCAAATGCAGCTTGATCATAAACCAAAGCAGCTTCTTCTGCACTGTTAAAAGTCCCAAGCCAAACCCTTGTTCCATTTCTTGTGGAATCCCTTATCTCAGCTGCATACTTTCCCCATGGCCGTTTTCTAACACCAATATAGCGCGTTTCTTTATTAACTTCTGTAGCATTCCCAAAAAATTCTTCCATTTCTTCTTCCGTACTGTTCAAACCCTTGGAGTATTCAGCTTCTTCCTTAGCATCGATGTTGAAAGTTAGGTTCTCATCTTGTTCTTTTGAAGGATCCATAATTAATTTTAAAACAAATACTTTCTTCTTTCTTTCTTTTCTTTTGTACGAAATCTTGAATGGCCGCAACCCTTATGAACCAAAATAGTAAGCATAAGTAAGACTGTGGGAGGAGACTAATAAGGTTAAAATTGAGTTGGATAATGAAAGCCAAGATTCTTTGGACAACCAGAAACGCTTTGGCTTTATTATTAAAGTTTTGTGGATTTTCTGTCTTGATGGGGTCAAAGGGAGTAAATTTCTTTTGTCCCAAGAAGAAAATAAAATGATGCACTACTGTTGCAATAGTATTATTTTGATATCATATATGGTTTGTGACGACAAATTTGTTGTTTAGAATATGGTGGAGAAAGGGTTGTTTGTAATGAATCAATGAATTAGAAATGTTTAATTCGCACTAGTGTAATTATACACAACAAAATTTAAGGGTATGTAAACCAACAAAAAAACAAGAAAAATAGAAGAAAGAGATTCGAGGCAAATGATAATTATTATTTTCTCAAGACAATATTGCCTCGCAACTGTGGTAATGGTATATGACATTTGTCTCCCAAGATATAACATATTCAACTTGTAGTAGAAGCATTTCGAATTACAAGTTTCAGCGAACTTAGAATAGAGCCTTCTCTCAATAAGAAGAAATATGTTTGGAATGACTTTGAAGAGTTTTTGCAAGATATTTTATGCAATGCTCAATACAAAAGTGATATGGATGCATTATGGACATCCAAAGGATTCTATTTATAGAGGATAAGAGGTTGAAGGTGAAGAGAAGCATCACTTGTTGTCGCTAGTCTGTTGCTAGACTTTCACTCGAGTGCCAATGTCAAAATTTCGAATTTCAAGTTTCAGCGAACTTAGAATAGAGCCTTCTCTCAATAAGAAGAAATATGTTTGGAATGACTTTGAAGAGTTTTTGCAAGATATTTTATGCAATGCTCAATACAAAAGTGATATGGATGCATTATGGACATCCAAAGGATTCTATTTATAGAGGATAAGAGGTTGAAGGTGAAGAGAAGCATCACTTGTTGTCGCTAGTCTGTTGCTAGACTTTCACTCGAGTGCCAATGTCAAAATTTTAACAGAAACTTTTTGCCAGCATGTCGCTCAAGAGATAGCCCCATCGCTCAAGCATTAGGCAACCCAGGAAGTTAGGCAGAATCCGTGCTAATTTTCCTCTATTTTTCTTCTAATTTTGAACCACGATTTCTCATTCATCCGGAATTGATTTTGAGATTTCAAATATATCACGATGACCTATTCGACAAGAAGAACAAATTAGTATATTTACCCTTGTAATTTGACTACCGGATTAAGTTGAATATTTGGTCAAATTGGTCAAAGTTGACACAAAATTTACTTTTCCACATTTCTACTTAACCAATTTTTCTCAATTGTAAACTAATTCCCAACAATCCGCCATATGAACGGAGATATGTATATTCAATGACAAATTTATTCTGCACTGTAGAGTAAGAGGGGTGAAAACACTGGATCAGGTAAGGTAGCTTCTGACTTTGAGCATTCCTTAGTGAAATGCTATCGGACTTACTTGGTTAATTGGTGAACGTGATGTCTTTTCAGCTGTTAGTGTAAGCAAAGACAATAATACTCATATAGATGTTTTCCCTAATTCGTTCACGTTTCTCATAACTTGGTTCATTTTGGCCTTGAATGGCTCTTAGGTTTCATAAGTATGTAGAGAATTTTAGCCTCGAACAATACTTATTGAAGTGGCCCCACTTCATGCTTATATATGTGACCTCCTATTAAGAGTATTCTGACCTACTTTACTTGACTCAATCATGATATATGAATCATTAAAAGAGTATATTAACCTTTGACCACTTTGCAAAAAGTACTTTAATATCATAGGATTGAGTTAGGAAATAATTTTCTAAGTATTTCATTGAATCCTCATAACTTAGTTGTCCTTTTGAACTAAGATCTTGGGATGTCCAGTCAACAAGGTAGAGTTACCATTACAAAGACTCTTAGCAATCAACTTTAATCCCATTCTTTTCAATAGGCAACATACTCGATCTCTAGGCAAGTCATTCGCAAGTGGATCGATAATGATCTCATTTGATTTTACATAATCTATGGAGATGATCTCATTAAAGATAAATTGCTTAATGGTATTATGTCTGCGACG